GCGATGAGAATCACACTAAGTAAAGGTTTTTTGAAATTCCTCAACATGGGTGAGGAGAGCATTAAGGCTTACCCAAAAAAACTGTTTATACTGTACTATTTTAGATGCGATTTTTTGTTTTTAACTACATTTAGCGGGTCGCTGGTCTTACTGTTTCGTCTATTTTAATCACTCACGTTGCCTTGGATTTCACTCTTTCCTCCTTAGTACGCCTCCAAGGGCAATTGCTACTGAAACGTCCCATTAAGTCACAACTGAAGCATTTAATTTTAGATTCCCTTACTTCCGACCCTCTATTGTTTGTGGTTGCATCTACTGTTTTCTTGGCGATCCTCGCTTCCATACATCGGTCATGGTATGGTACCCTTTTAATTCTCTCAAACTTATCTCTAAAATCTCCCTTTCCTACAGCCTCCATGTGCTTCTCAGCGTATCTAGCTATCTGTTCCAGTGGGAACCAACCCTTGCCCTCTTCTAATAAGACGTAACACCTAGTGTCGTCATCTAGCTTAGTCTTAAGATGAGCCAAGAAAACTAGTTTTGTTAGTTTTCCGAAGGAATCTACGCCTCTACTATTCAAATAGTACTGATATTACTTCAAAAAATGGCGATTGTCTTCAAGTACCACCAAAACAGAAGTGTCCTGTTTCCACCTGAACAACCAACTGGCAAATACAAGGCTGTATGTCTCTTTCTGTAACCAACCTCTTACACATAATATGTACCCTAAATACCTGGGAATCACCCTTGATCGCACTCTGTCTTTCAAGACGCATCTAAAAAGTGTTGCTGGCAAGCTTAAGAGCAGGAACAATATAATACAGAAGCTTTGTGGCACCACGTGGGGATCAACTGCTAACACGCTGCACTGCTCAGCTTTAGGACTGGTTTACTGATGTGCTGAGTATTGTGCCCCTGTCTGGATGAATAGCTCCCATACAAGATTGGTAGATACACAGCTTAATGTTACAATGCGCCTGATTTCTGCTACCATACGATCTACACCAGCACTTTGGCTACCATTATTGGCAGGATTCATGCCACCTGACCTGCGTCGATCTAAGGCCCTTGCTCGCGAGTCCCTAAAGATAAGCGAAAATCCTCAACTCCAAGTTCACCAAGACATTCCATCCTTGAGCATTAACCGCTTGAAATCTTGGAATCCAACCCTTCGGGCAGCTCAAGACATGGCCATAACTGATGATGACTACATGACATTGTGGAAAAACCGCTGGGAAACAGCAATGGGGTCCCACTTGCATTATCTGTTCTGTCGTAGGAGAAAAGTCCAGGGTTTCGACTTACCTCGCAAAACATAGACCGCATTAAACCGTGTCAGGACGAGCCATGGCAGGTGTAGGGACTCTTTGTTCAAATGGAAGAAGGTTCCAAGCCCGGAGTGTGACTGTGGTGCTCCACGTCAGACTGTTGAGCACATTGCACACGAATGTAGACTGCGGGCTTACCCGGGAGACTGGAGTGACATACTAATGTCCACCTCAGAGGCCGTAAAGTGGATAAGCGAGTTAGATCTACAACTCTGAACACTCTTTATATCCTTGTGTACATGTGCAGTCACATATTTGTAGTTTTACAATAGTTTAATTGCATACAGACTTACTGCTTCTTATTCTTTTATTTCATTTCTGGTTTTGTATTACTCCATTTTGTTACGCTTTGTTTGTGTCATGTATAAGCCATACGCTAAATAAATAAATAAGTACTGATATAAGTCTTCCATCATAGCCACAACTTGGGGCCACATTTCTCTCTTTCCTTTTCGGAAAAAGTAAACTCCTTAAGATACTCTGCAGCAGACAACTTTAATTCGTCTAGACGAATTGTTTTAAAGTTTCGCAATTCCTGATTTCGTTTACCGTGAGTCTACTTCAAGCTGTCTTGCATTTCTCAAGTAGTACCATTAAAACTAACTGTCCCTGAAGCTCTTCCAGTACCTTGTATGTTTGTAATACAACCTCCACAACGGTACTTCCGCCTACTTGTCTGGCATTTTGGGTAAAGCCCACCTGATTTTCCTGGCTAGACTATCCAAGTTATCTCCTAGCTCAGAGTTATTACTATTCCTAGATTCGCTTCGTAACAGATCTCATTCTAACTCTATTTCATTCCTTTTAACTTCTATTTCAGCTAGCCTAATTTGTAGGCGCAACTTCTCTATCTCACCTGACTCATGCACCTCTGTTTCATTCCTATAATCAATAACCTCAACCTCAAAATTCAAATTTTCCCTTACTGACTAGTATTCATTACATGAGATTGACTAAGATCAGTCCAACCTCCGTGATCCTCAAAACACGGCATTCCCTTTTTTAACCCTTGAGTCCTTCTGCATTCCGGCATTCTAAATACAAATAATTAAGAACAACTTATCAATATCAAGCTCTGTTCTGCCTTGATTTCCAGCTGCTCTTCCTTCCATAAACGTCCAAAGTCTTCAATTATCTTGAATGTGGAATCAGTACTTTCCTGTCTCCTTGCTAGAATCTCCTGAAGATTTGCACAACCATCCTGTTGATGACTGCGCCAGTAAAGATCTTGTGAAGTTCTTTCCCAAACTCCATCTCGTTCAGTTGGTTCCCGTGTGTATCACAATTCAATGTAGTGATCCAGGTTCGTTGGAAAGCACACCTCAACACTCAAATGGATAAAATTTACAGATTCTATATGCAAAAAGTACAAGTTCATAAACATAATATATATATACAAGATAACAAAGCGTGCCGACTGACGAAATAGATTGTTTTCCACGAACTATTAAACTTTGGAGAAGCCTCAGTCAGCTTGTGGAGTTGGCTCAACTGCACAGTCAGTCCAGTCTCCGCTCTAACCCGTCTGTAAGATGTTTACCAGAGGAGAATACTATCTCTACGCTTAGTGGGCTTTCCAACTGCCTGAGACTACCGTGTACCAGTCTCTTGCCCTTCTCTCCTCCCTCTCTTGTTCGTTCCGCAATTTAAAATTTATTTTGGACAAAAACTTCCGACCAATCACAAACCTTTCTTGCCTGAACAGCTTTAATTTAGGCCTGCTGTTATCCAACGAGTGTCAAACTTACAGTAAAGCCCGCCACTCGTTTACATTCAGTTGTTTACCATATGGCAAACAATCTATCGCTTGACCACAGGTGAGCCAATTGATAAAGTCGGCGCTTCCTTTGTTTTTCCTCTGTTTACAAGTCAACACCTTACAAGTGGTATATTACCTGACCACACATGGGTCCAATTGAGAAGGTCACACTTCTTTTGTTCCCTCTCTGCTATAAAATCAATACTTTACAATTTTAATACATATTTGTATTGTGTCTATTTCATTTGTACAAATGTAATAGACAAGGAATAATAATTCAGATATGATGAGAAAAATACGAAAAAATTTTTTCAGATAAAAGAACCTTTCTTGAAATTATAAAGTATGGAATATAAATTTGAATGCTGAACAATATGTTACAAACTTCTTTAAAATTTTCCTATTTAAAACTAGCTTAGAAAAATCATAATAATAATGACCATGAATAATAAAGTTTTGTTACAGTTCGTTTAGTAGTGAAATTCGATTTAAATTTGAATCTTGTGAACGAGCTGGCATTTGACTACCTAGTGTAATTTAAGTAGGGGGTCAAGGGTTATCCTGTCCGACCACTTATTCTACGCAGATTGCAAAATCCAATCTATAACATCAGTGAATGACTTCCTAAAATGTTAATGTTGACCAAGAGTTCGTAAGATCTCCTGGAAGTTGTTTTCCTGACACCAGTAAATCAATTTAATCCGTGGATTAACATGCATAACTAAGAAACTTCAAGCTGGAGGGACATAAGTACGTGGAGTGAACATAGGCGTAGATTTTAGTCATTGAAGAGGCCAGATTTTTTAAACAACAAACAAATATTTAATGGAACCAAAATATTAACTACAATTACAAAATACGAAGCTTCCTAACTCGTGAGCAGTGGTGTGCCATGACATTTGATGATAAGGAAGCTGTGTTACTGTAAGAAGCCTACATCCAGGGGCAATTAGTCAATTGCGCGTCAGTGATGTCTAGGGTCCATCTGTATCTTTTATTCGATAAGCCAGTAAAAACCGTACTTTTCTAAATGTATTTTCAATATCACAATTACATTCCGAATCGCTAGCCACGATATAAAGGCTACAGTAAAGCCCGCCACTCGTTTACATTCAGTTGTTTACCATATGGCAAACAATCTATCGCTTGACCACAGGTGAGCCAATTGATAAAGTCGGCGCTTCCTTTGTTTTTCCTCTGTTTACAAGTCAACACCTTACAAGTGTTGACTTGTAAGGTGTTGACAAGGCTACAATTAAAAATAAAATGTGTGGTGGATGTACCAGTACATACCTGGTACAAAATATTCTTCAATTGTATAAATATACTTTTAAAGAAAATTATAATTAAATATAGCTTTGTAAAAAAACATACATAAAAATATAAAATATTCTTTACTTTTTAAATCTTAAAACAATGCACTTAGTCAAATAGCTCCCTACCAGTGGCTAATGGATGGAATCGAAGAAGATTGCAGAGCTTGCATACACGCAGACTGCCAAATCCCCAGGGTGCCGATACTGGTCAATGTCAAATACGTCTTTTGTCGCATCACTAGTATATCTCAAAGGACGCAACAGGGCTGTTGTAGATTTTAAACGTTTCTCACCATAGCAGTAAAAGTCTAAATATGTTAAACTTAATAAATTGTCCATCGTTTGTTTTTGTAGTGCCTAAGCACTATTATATAGTTATTTATGTATATATATACATAAATATATACAAAAAATAAATATAATATACATAAATATATACAAAAAATAAATATAATATACATAAATATATACAAAAAAACCCGATATAAATATATATATATATATATATATATATATTTGTATCGGGTTTTTTTTTTTAAACATTTCGTTTTTGCCCTAATATCGGTTTTTGGATGGGTAAAACCCATCGCTAGTGCGGATTGGTTAGCAACGGACATGACGTCACGCGCAATGGCGGGGATTATAAATGTTGGACTCCCGTCCACCAGGTACTTTTTGGTTCTTCCTTTGGTCCCAACCAGTTGTGCGACAAAAATAGACTGTGGTGAAAGAACAAAGGAGAAGGAAAACTACACATGCGGACATTCAATTGAATAGTGAATAGAATCCGGACCCATCGAGGTGAACACGTCTATGGTATGAGAAATACCACGTCAGATTTATAAAGGAAACTTCAAGGAACGTCCGAAGAATATTATTGTCGGTATGTGAATTGCTGTATCTTGATATTTAAGTAATTTCTTCGATCCTTTGTCTCTAAAACCCAGAATTGTATTTATGTTCCTTCTCATGTCATTAGAATATGTTAACTTTGTATTTATGTACTCATAATTAAACCTATATTAAAGATGATGTGAAAAGTATACCTATTAAATTACAAAGTGAATGAATTTTGCTACTTTTTTTGTTTAATAACATCAAGTGATGATTACAATAAAATTTTACAATACAGTACAATACAGTACACTACATCTGTATTGTACTGTATTGTAACAAAATTTGTTATTTTGTTTAATTTTACTGTATTGTAACAAAATTTATACTTGATGTTATTAAACAAAAAAAAAGTAGCAAAATTCATTCACTTTGTAATTTAATAGGTATACTTTTCACATCATCTTTAATATATGTATTACACTAAATCTGTATTGTACTGTATTGTAACAAAATTTGTTATTTTGTTTAATTTTACTGTATTGTAACAAAATTTATAACAAAATTTTATTGTAATCATCACTTGATGTTATTAAACAAAAAAAAAGTATCAAAATTTTATTGTAATCATCTTAACTTTGTATTTATGTACTCATAATTAAACCTTATTGTTAAAAATGTACAAAATTGTAAAGTCCTTGATTAATGTGCCTTTTACCCGAACACTTCGCCCAATAGACTTAGGTCCATTGGGGCTTAACATTTTCTAACTAATTCGTTTTAGGGTCAAGTGTCCTCAGAAATTTCCAAAATTTACAACTTTTCGGTCATTCTCATTGAACTAGAAAAATTTCTGTCTTTATTACATTAATAATACGAAGAAATCAGTCTCCACTGTACTGGGCTAAAGATGGTTCAGTTAAGCTTTTATTTAAGTAAAATTTTGGCTCTTTTGTCAGGGTTTTGTTTATGTCCCCAATTCCCTAATCGCCTAATTATTTAAATACTTCTTAAGTAAAAATAAGTCAAAACCGGTTACTTTGTACTCGAATATTTGTAGTCTTCGGGAAAAAGTGGAAAGACAAATTTTTATGACAAATGGATACATAAATTGTAAATTTAAGGAAAATAAATTCTAGAGCTTTATCTGTACCTCATGCATCTCTCTCATTCATTAAATTTAGTTGTAAATGATGCTGTCAAAGTAACAGTTAATTTTTTAACATTATACAAGAATTGTACACGTTTTTTCTACACCCCCTTAAAGATGGGATATACGAAATCGTAATATCACTGGTTTAACATTGAAATCCGTGAGTAGTATAAAATCAGAGAGCGAAATAAATATATCAAATATTTTAATGGATTTTTTTAAACTCCTGTCAACTGTACAGAGCTATCATAAAAACATACTAGTAAATTCTTATCAGTTGAGTTAAGTTATAAATCTATTCGCATTTCACGTAATCAGGCGAGGGCGGCCAAATATCTAGCGGGCAGGCAGCTAACAGCCCGGAACCAGCCCTGGATAGAATTGGATGCGGTAGACGTGTATCATCCACCTGAGGTACTAGGCTTCCACCAGTTAAACTGGGTGAGGTTGGTGCTCCATAAAGTGCATGAGCGAATCTGGCTTTTTGGATGCTGACAATACAGCGCTTCTACTCCGCCACTAGTATTTGAATATACAATACCAATCCTATCGTTTTTTTTTACATGTAATATAAAAATTGGTAATAAGATACATAATGCGGTTATAATAAAATATTGTGCAATTATTTTCATATAATTAAAATAAATGTATATTTATTTTTTAGAAAATACAAAAGAAGCAATGCATCCACCACTTCCAATGACAGCATGCCACTGCTCGCGAGAGAAAAAGATTATTAAATGTTCAAAGGTTTTACTAACTTAACAGGTTCTCAGATGTCTTTCCTTTACGATGTCTTCTCCTTGAAATTGTCAAGCAAAGTTCATTGTCATCTTTGTAGATAAGAACATTGACGGCACTTAGGTTGGTTGGTTTGAGTTTTTTGGCGCAAGAGCTATTTAGGCCATGCTGCGCTATGGCAAAGGTAAAATAAAACAAAACTAAATATATATAACAAAATATAAATATAACACAAAAAACATATATAAACGCAAACAAACAAAACAACAAAATAAACATAAGTATATAATAAATAAATAAATATATGAATAATTTATTAATTAATTAAATCTTTTTATAAATATTTACAACTTTCAAAAAGTTCAGTACAGTAGAGCATCGTTTATCCGAATCAATTGGGACTGGGGTTGTTCAGATAACCGATTATGAATGAAAAATATATTAACCTATCCCATGTTGAAAATTTTCTCCGTTGCGTGTCGCTTCGCGTTGAATTTTCATCGATATTAAGCCTAACAAAAACTTCTTAAAATAATAATCGTGGCTATTGTATCGTTAAAAATTATTTTTTTATTTTGTACAAACAAAATAAATATATTGAAAAATATAAAAACCAAAAAAATATCCTTTAGAAGATGATCTAGTATCAAAAATGTTCGATTCAGCAAAACACAGTTCTCAGAAAAACATCACACAGAAGTGCCAGTGCTGCCAGCTAAAACACACACACCAACATAAAAAATTATTAGAGTAGCCCAAGATATAGCCAAAGATTGCAGCGCCACAGCACTAACAAAAATTTAAATTTGCCGACTGGAATGCATTCGGATAACCGACACTCTACTGTGTATTATAAAGATTTGGCCTCTGGCCCAAAATCTCTCTCAAACTTGCATTTCCAAAATGTTGTCTACGACATTGATCAAGAGCAACGCAGTTGATAAGTATGTGTTTAACACTTACAGTACAATTACAATACTGACATACAGGTTTATCATCTCCCTTCAAGAGGTATTGATGAGTCAGTCAAGTGTGTCCAATTCTCAAACGAGTAAAGACAACCTCAGATCTCCTGTCAAAATTTCTTGTGTGTCCAATTTTCTATCAAAGGTTTGATCTCATATAGTTTATTGTGGATTTGTGCATTCCACATATTTGGCCATCTCTCTGCTAGTCGTTTTTTAATGACTAGCTTCAAATCACCACCTTTGATAGGCATTTCATGCTGTGAAGGACTAGCTGACTTTGCAGCTGCATCAGCTTCTTCATTTCCTTTTATACCTACATGGCCTGGGTCCCAACAAAATTATACAAAGAAATTACTCGCAGTAAGATGGCAAAAGAGCTTACGAATTTTAATCACTATAGAGTGAGAACTAGGTTCACATGAGATCAAAGCCTGAAGGCACTAACTGAAAGGCAGTGTAAATAACACAGCAACGATGACCTTTCCTATTTATATACTTTAAAGCTAAATAAATAGCATGCAACTCTGCAGAAAAGATGGAAGAATTCAATGCAATTTGTTCTGCCATGATTTCATCCTGGCAGACGAAGGCTGAGCCAACATAGTTATCCGATTTTGATCCATCACTATAAAAGGAAATTAAATTCCTGTCACAATTTTGAATTTCTGCGAAGTGCTGTCTATAGACGCAGTCTGGCGCTGTTTGGTGAGTGTTTCTTATATATGGTTTTGTTCATTAAGTTATTCTGAGCATTTCGTTGAGTATTTGATTAATTTCTGTTAATTATTTGCAAAGCTACCAGAGTTTAAAGCTATTAGCTTTAAACAAAGGCAGCTAAGCCTAGTTAGGCTTAGGGATCTAGTTGATAGACACGTCTTTTGTAGCTTTTTAGTTTTAAGCAGGTTATCAATAGTAATGTATTGTTGGACCCAGCTTGTTACGTAGATTAATGTGCCGTCTGAATTTTTGAGATCTGTTCAGTAGTTTTATTTGTGTTTCACTCTCAGTAAAACTATTTCTTTGTCTAGTTATCACTTTGTAAAAATTTTTTACCTTGATTTTCCATTTGTCTTATACTATTGGATAGGGAATTTAGTTAAGGGGTAGTTTATTATTGAGTTTAAGCAAATCTTTTCGGCTGTTTTTGTACGAGTTTCTGCTCAAAATGTCTTCAGATGAAACACAGAATATCCTGGAAGTAGAAGACGACGAAGGTGATAAATTAAAAGAATACAGAAACAGCCTAAAAGAAATACAGAGATGCATTAATCAAAGCAGAAACGTAAATAAAGTTTTAAAAAAGAGTGCTTTAACACACATCAATTGTGTGACCGAGCTGTTTGAAGACTTAGGGTCGAGTTATAAACTCCGTAACGTAACCGTATCCGTACCGTATCTGTAGCCGTAAACGTATCTGTATAGCATGGTTATAAAGTCCATATCGTATCTGTATGGCCGTACCATATTCCGTAAGAAAAGTTTGGATCGATCAAACTTTTACGGTAGCAATACGAAGAACTGACCAACTGCGCATGCGCTAAGTTGCATACAATCGGAAGTTGTGCCGGAAGCAACCAACAAAACTTTGAGGGAGACAACATGGCTACGACTACTCGTCAAGAATGTGTTGCTGTGATTGCATTGTTAGCAATAAGTTTAGGCGCTTTTGTTATTAACAAAAAGCGGACAAGTCGACAACGACATCGATGGCAAGTAGGTCCAGTCAACATAAACAGGCCACTTTGCCAATTCTCATTATTTCGTCAAATGAAGAACATCGATTCCGACGAATTTTTTAAGTATACGAGAATGAACGTGGATCTCTTCCACGAGCTATTGAGACACCTATGGAGAAGACTGTACAAGCCACATGGTCGAGCAATTAATCCGGAAATGAAACTTGCGTTGACATTAAAGTGAGTCAAAAATACAAATTATAATTAAAACTGCAGCTGTGTAATCAATCCTCTTTAATATTATAATATATATTTTTTACAGATACCTGGCCCAGGGAGGTAGTATTCAAAGTATGGCTTGGGATTATAATATAGGAAAGTGTACAGCTAGAAAAATCATACTGGAGGTCAGTACTTTCATCTCAGTTCCATTTTTTTTTTATATTAAAAGAAAAATTGTCTATGTTAAAATTTGTGTAGTATTCAAAGTATGGCTTGGGATTATAATATAGGAAAGTGTACAGCTAGAAAAATCATACTGGAGGTCAGTACTTCATTCTCAGTTCCATTTTTTTTTTATATTAAAAGAAAAATTGTCTATGTTAAAATTTGTGTAATATTAAGTAAATAATTGTCATTTTTTAAATGAAATTTATGAATGTAAGCAATATAATAAATGTATCCACATTTGTGACAAATGATACTTAAAATTTATTTACATAGGTACTTAAAAAATTTTTCTTACTGTTGACCAGTGATTAGTTTTGTCATACCTAACTTCTGTCTATCAGTTTGATAAAATTCTAGATTAAAACTTAAATTTCTCTAATTATATATATATAAAATTGACTAATTTATGACATTTAAATAATAAGCTTAGTGTGTATGGTACACGTTCTTTTCCTTTTCTGCGATGTTTTGTGTATTTTCAGGTCTGTACAGCAATATGGGAGGAACTGAAGCCAACATATATGGCTTCATTATCATATCCAGAATGGTTGCAGATAGAAAACAAATTTTGGGAGAAATGGCAGTTTCCTCTCTGTCTAGGAGCTACAGATGGAAAACACATCAGGATCAAGGCACCACCAATATCCAGATCAAAATTTTTTAAAATCAAAAAATTTTTTAGCATTGTTCTGATGGCTGCATGTGATGCAGACTANAAGTTTAGTGTGTATGGTACATGTTCTTTTCCATTTCTGCAATGTTTTGTGTATTTCCAGGTCTGTACAGCAATTTGGGAGGAACTGAAGCCAACATATATGGCATCATCATCATATCCAGAATGGTTGCAGATAGCAAACAGATTTTGGGAGAAATGGCAGTTTCCTCTCTGCCTAGGGGCTATAGATGGTAAACATATCAGGATCAAGGCACCACCAATGTCCGGATCAGAATTTTTTAATTTTAAAAAATTCTTTAGCATTGTCCTGATGGCTGCCTGCGATGCAGACTACAGTTTTACATTTGTAGATGTAGGAGCTTATGGGAGTGACTCTGATGCAACCATCTTGTCACTATCAGCCTTTGGAAGCAGTCTCCTGTCTAATAACATTGAAAAATTAAACTTGCCAAGTGAAGGAAAACTACCAGGTACAAACACAACCCTTCCATTTGCATTTGTTGCAGATTCTGCATTTCCTCTAAAAGTAAAGCTTACGCGCCCTTATCCTGGGATGAATTTTCCAGAGGGCGAATCAATTTTCAACCACCGTCTCTCCCGGGCAAGAAGAGTTATAGAGAGCACATTTGGGATTTTGGCGTCACGATGGCACATTTCCATCAATCAATTACAGCATCTCCTTGTGCTGTAACAAAAATGGTGTTATGCACAGTTATCTTGCATAACTTTATAATGAAACATAATTCTGTGCCAGAATACTGCCCCCCAAATTTTGTAAACCAGGAAAATATCCCTGGCGATTTCCGGGATGAGCCATCTCCTAATTGGGAGCCTCTCCAATGTGGATTGCATAATTCTGCACAGAGAGCATACAGCAATCAGAATGCTCTAAAGGAGTTTTTCATGAATGAGGGACATGTACCTTGGCAATTAGGAATTGTTAATCGAGGAACCCTACCAAATTCATAAAGATAATAAAATTTTAGAATATTCAATCGTTATTATTGTAATATTTGATTATTTTGATTCAAATGTACATTTTTCATAATTGTACAGTTTTATATATTAAAGTTTTTTTAGAATAATCTAGTCTTCTTGTTATGTCTTAAAGAAATTTACTGTTTTGTTTCTTTTCCTGTATGTATAATAAAAATAGTTTTATTATACATAGAGGAATCTATAAAAATATATATATATATAGGTACTAATGATGTATATACTTATATTCTAATACTGTCTGTATATTCACAAATGTGGTTTACCAAATCAAACAAAACAACAGTTCTTGGAGTGTTCAAATTTATTCATATTTGGCTAAAAATTCCAAAATAGATATTTTAAACTCCTTTTTTTCTTTAGGATTCATTTTTCTCATTAATTCTGACATATTTGTAGAAACTGATTCTACAAAAATGTCATCACTATTGCGATTCTGAATGTTCATTAGATAGGGTTGAACAGCTGACAAAGTATTTAGTATGCTTGTCTCTAGTTCAACATTATCAGTTTCTGTTCTTCTTTTTTTTCTTTTCATATTTGTCAGGTGAGTTGATATGTCACCTACAGAAGTTGATGGACCATCACAATAGGTCGCAACACCATCACAAATGTCATCCTGTTCACACACTGATACATCTCTCGTTAATGTATCAAGTGTATTCCATGGGGATGTGTCTGCATCTCCATGGAGTACACTTGTACTCTCATGGAGTGCTTCAACATCGGTCGATGGTGCATAATTACTTCGAGTCCTGAAAGCCAAAAAAACTATTTGAGAATACTGTGCAATATCATAAAGCAGTGTTTCTCAACTTGTGGTCTGTGGACCACATCTAGTCCGCAATGATGGAGCAGGTGGTTCGCAGGTAGACATAAAGTAATAAAAGATTAAAACTTTGTTAAATGATGATTTACTTTTAATAGTTTACTTCTAATTTAATTAATTGTTTTCATGTGTATTTAAAGCATGATTTTAGATTTATTGTGTTATAAATGGGACAGTATGTCCCAAATAATGATAATACCTACACAGGTTTAAAAGATTGAGGCCTATATAACTTTTTCAGACATCTGAAGGTTGAGAAACACTGTAATAAATGCTTCAAAATATAGTCAACTACGGCATACTTACTTGCGATGTTTTACAATATTCTTTAAAAACATCATTGACTGATATAATGGCCATACAGGCTGCGAGGCTTTTCCGCTCCCAGATGGGGTATATCGGCGATCTTCTTTCCTGAAGTGTTCTTGTAACAGTTTCCATCTCGCCTGGGCTTCAGACACTGAAAGATGCTATATTTTCAAATACCAGCACGTACCGTAAAATATATATCTACTCTATATACATTTGGTGACTACATACCTGTCAATTGGACAGTCTCTGCCACGGTCTTCCATGAATTACTTTTTTTTTTAATGTCTTTAAAGTCTGTATGACTTTTGTCATAAATAAATGGAAATTCTTGTATAACTCGAATTAATAAATCGTCACCTAAATATTCCTGACTTCTCCATCGTAGTAAAAGCAGTTAAAACAATAAATCGATGTTTGAACACTCAAAAAATGGCAGAACTTACAAATCGTAATCATAGTTGATGATAATAGCTGTTGCCAGATCAAGGAAAAAGTAACAAATTGATTGAAAAGTAACTTTTGACTGACAATGCTACTTCTAAATAATATAAAATTTTAAGATAAGAATTACTTTGGTCATAAAAAAATAGAAAAATGATAAAATGAATAAATAATTATAGTGTGAGATCTTGCAATAACTATACATGATTTTGCGCACGCTCACAATGGACTGCTCCGTAAACCGTAAGAAAAGTTTGTTCCCTTACAAATACGGATAAGCTCTTACGGTAGTTTATAACTATTGCTATAGATATCCAGTGTAGCAAACATTTACAAATACGGATACGGTTACATTACAAAGTTTATAACTCGACCCTTATTGTTGCTATACCATGAGGAAAGGGATAGAACCGTTAAGCTTGAAGAAGAGTTGAAACCACTTAAAAGAATGACTATACAACCTGAACCTAAAAAAAAATTATATGCAAAGATTTTGAACAAACCAATACATAAGACAACAGAAACAGACATAATGGTGTTTCCAAAGAAATCAGAAATAAAACAAACCGAGATGGATGAAGAACTAAAAAAAAAATTGATATTAAAGAAATAAAAGTAGGTGTCAAAAATATGAGACAAATAAGAAATGGAGTTATACTGAGATGCAGCTCCAAGGAAGAAGCAGAGAGATTAAAATCTAAAATAAATAATTCTAACAAGTTCGAGGCAAAGGCTCCCAGAAAACAAAATCCAAGGATTACAATAAATAAAATACCTTTGAGCAAGAAAAACACAGATGTCAAAAAGAACTTGATGATATATAACACAGAGCTGCAAGATGACAACTTCAGACCACTCTAGACCACTCTTTTCCATCAACAAAGACGAGCACACTGGTTGGTTGGTTGGTTAAGGTTTTTTGGCGCAAGGGCCCTTTAGGCCATGCTGCGCCATGACAAAAGGTAAAATATAACAAAACTAAATATATATAACACAAAATATAAATATGACACAAAAACGTAAATAGAAACAAACAAACAAAACAACAAAATAGATATAAGCATATAATAAATAAATAAATAAATATATAAATAATTAATTAAATTTCTTTATAAATATTTACGACTTTCAAAAAGTTCAGTATCTTATCAAGATTTGGCCTCTGGCCCAAAATCTCTTTAAAACTTGCATTTCCAAAATGCTGTCTACGTATCCTCTCAGAGGCAATGCAGTTGTAAAGTATGTGTTTAACACTTACAGTACAGTTACAATATTGGCATAATGGCTGATCTTCACCCTTCAAAAGGTACAGATGAGTCAACCGAGTATGCCCAATTCTCAAACGAGTAAGAATTACTTCAGATCTCCTGTCATACTGTTTATTACGTGTCCAATTTTCTATATTCGGCTTGATCTCGTGTAGTTTATTGTGGATTTGTGCATTCCACATGTTTTGCCATCGCTCTGCTAGTCGTTTTTTAACAACTAGCTTCAAATCACCTCCTTCAATAGGCATTATATGCTGTGAAGGACTAGCTGCCTTTGCAGCTGCGTCCGCTTCTTCATTTCCTTTTATACCTACATGGCCTGGGACCCAACAAAATTTTACAAAGAAATTACTTGCAATAAGATGGCAAAACAGTTTATGAATTTTAATCACTATGGAGTGGGAACTAGGTTCACACGAGATCAAAGCCTGAAGTGCACTAACTGAGTCAGTGTATATAACACAGCAACGATGACCTTTCCTATTTATATACTTTAGAGCTAAATAAATAGCATGCAACTCTGCAGAAAAGATAGAAGAATTTGATGCAATTTGTTCTGCCACAATTTCATCCTGGCAGACGAAAGCTGAGCCAACGTAATCATCAGATTTAGATCCATCTGTATAAATAGGAATTAAATTCCTGTCACAATGTTGAATTTCTGCAAAGTGCTGTCTATAGACGTAGTCTGGTGTGGATTCCTTAGGAAACTGCTTTAAGCTAAGGTCAACATTTATCACAGGAGTTGACCAAGGAGATATACTACAGACCTCTAGCTGTGAAATGTTGCTTGTGTTAAGGTCAATCGTGCTACTCACATTCTCCGTTCTTATGGGGAATGTAGGGACACAACTAGGGCGAGTTTCAAATAACCTTTTCAGCTGAGTATCTAATACTCTATAATCGACTGAAGGTTTAGAGTTAGATTTCTGCTTTATATAGTAAAATAGAGACAACTGTTCTCTCCTAAGAGACAGTGGAGGCTCATAAGCATCCACATACAAACTTTGGACAGGGGAAGTTCGGAATGCACCAGTGCACAAACGCAGTGCTTGATGATGGATTGGATCCAGCATCCGAAGAGTAGATTCTCGCGCAGAGCCATAAACAATGCATCCGTAGTCCAGCTTAGAGCGGACAAGGGCCCTATAAATCCTGAGCATAGAAACTTTGTCTGCTCCCCAGGATGAGCAGCATAATACCTTTAAAAGGTTTAGAGATTTTAAACATCTACTCTTCAGGTTGCGCAAGTGTGGCAAGAATGTCAGTTTTTTGTCAAAACAAACACCCAAAAACTTAGTCTCATTAACAATTGGAATTTTAACTCCATTTAAATATATTTCAGGATCCAGGTGCAAACCACGCCTTCGGCAAAAGTGAATGCACGAGGTCTTCTCTACGTTGAAACTAAAACCATTGGTCTTGGACCAATTTTCTATGCGATTTAAAGAGGTTTGCAGTTGTCTCTCAATGAAACTCATGTTACTAGACTGGCAGGAGATCTGAAAGTCATCCACATACAAAGAGTGTTTCACACTAGGGGGAAGACAGTTAGCTATGCTATTAATTTTAATTAGGAACAGAGTCACACTCAAAATAGAGCCTTGAGGAACACCTTCTTGTTGTGTGAAAGGCCTAGATAAAGTGTTGCCCATCCTGACATGAAATCTTCGATTCTGTAGGAAGTTTTTTATAAAAATCGGCAAATTACCCCGCAATCCGAATTCGTACAGATCACGGAGTATCCCGTATCGCCAACAGCGATCATAGGCCTTCTCTATATCGAAAAATACAGACACTAAGTGCTGTCGTCTAACAAACGCTTCGCGTATAGATGTTTCAAGGTTTACTAAGTTATCAGTGGTACTTCTGTTCCTACGGAATCCACTCTGATGTGGTGAAAAATAGTTCTTTACCTCTAGGAGGAACATCAGGCGTCTGTTTACCATTCTCTCAAAGAGTTTACACAGACAACTTGTCAGAGAGATTGGTCTGTAATTAGAGGGATTCTTGTGGTCTTTACCAGGCTTGAGAATGGGAATAACTATAGATAGCCTCCAAGAGTCAGGAAAAGTATGTTCTGTCCATATTCTGTTAAACAGACACAGAAGATTAGAAAGGGAATTGTTTGACAAATTTTTAATCATGCTGTAGTGGATTTTATCCAAGCCTACAGCACTATTCCCCGAGCGAGAGATCGCTGTATGTAGTTCTATGCTGGTGAATGGCACATTATATTCGTCATTATATGAGGAATGAAAGTTTAAATATTGTTTTTCACTTTGGGCTTTATAAGCCTGAAAATTTCTTGAATACATAATATTGCTGGATGAAGTAGAAAACGTTTCACCCAACGTATCAGCAATACCCTGTATATCGCTGATTATTGTGCCATTATTTTCCAGCATGGACAGAGAGTGAGAAGCATATTTCCCATTGATTTTATGAATTTTATCCCAGACTGCTTTTGAGCTAGTGGAAGATGTTATGCTAGAAACATACTTCCTCCAAGAATCCCTTTGGCTTTGCCTTCTTATTCTTCTGGCATTTGCCTTCGCTTTTTTAAAAGCTATCAAATTTCTAGCAGTGGGGTATCTTCTAAAAATTCCCCATGCTTTCTTTTGTGCTTTAAATGCTGCCTCGCAATTCGGATTCCACCATGGTTTCGGATGCTTTGGATATCTAGTTGATGTTTTCCCCATTGTTTTTTCCGCTGCCTGAATAATAGTAGAAGTGACAACTTCAACTGCATCATTGATATCAGCAGTATTGGCCATTTCCTCAGTGATGTTAGCCATAGAGGAGAATGCAGGCCAATCTGCCGTTTCCAGTTTCCAGCGTGGTGGACGGGCTGTTTCACAGCTTTCTCTGCCTCGATATTTTAGAAATATTGGGAAGTGGTCGCTAGAGAGTGGATTAGATCCAACCTCCCATGTAAATGCTGAAAACAGGTTTGGACTTGCTAATGATAGATCAATGGCAGTGAATGTTCTTGTTGGGGCATGGAAGTATGTCACTTCTCCTGTATTAAATAAATATAACTGCTGATTGCCTATGAACCTTTCAATGGTCCTGCCTCGACGGTTAATGTCGGGACTGCCCCACATTGGATTGTGACCATTGAAATCACCTAGTAAAACAAATGGAGTAGGCAACTGTTCAACCAAAGCATCCAATTCATCTTCGTTGACTCTGACATCTGGTGGCAAGTATATAGAACAAACCGTGACAGTTACTCCAATAGAAATTCTGACTGCCACAGCTTGCAGCTCTGTTGTTATTTGTACCGGCAAGGATGGGGTGCGGTTGGAAACCAGAATAGCCACACCACCACTTGCACGGTTGTGGCTATCATCATCCTTGCGGTAGAGATCAAATCCTTTTAAAGTAATTCCCTCTCTAGGTTTCAGATGAGTCTCCTGGAGTGCCACGCAGAGAGATGAGGTAGATGATGTCAAGTGTTTAATGTCAGAGAAGTTGTTGCGAAAACCACGACAGTTCCATTGGATTATTTTATAATCCATTATGTGTTTGAGGCAGCATTCTTAGAAAAAGTGTCCCTCTTCAGTTTAACTGATGATTTTCCTTTTGGAGGTGACGTTGGTTGGGTTACCTCCATATTATTCTCTTCATCAGAGATATCAGAGAACTCACTCATGGACTGAGCCTCTGATTTTT